AATGTATTCAACATATTCTGTAATTCAATTGTATTTTCAATAATTAAATAAACGATATTTAGATCAAAATAAAATTTTGTTAATTTCTATTATTCCTAACAATGAATTGCATTTCTCACTAGAATTTAAGAGTCGAGAGAAACTAATTAAAGAAATTCAATACAATTTGCAAAATTGGACACATTATAAGAAGTACTATATATTTTTTAGGGAATTACTTTTGAGATTATATAATTCATTAGTGTATTATTATTATTATTATTATATATTTTGTGAAAGTGAATGAATAAAGTATCAAATTCTTAGCATTATTCTGGTCTAATATTTCATCACAACATAATAATAGCAGTAATTTTAAAAGTGTATCAAATTTCACATAATATTAACTACAATTTATGTGAAACATTACTATTATGAACATACTTACAATTATTAATAATATAACAATAGTAGTTCAAAATGTTAATTATTTATAATTTCAACTATAATTATAAAGTTTTATAAATACAGTTCTCTTAACGACTGAATTAATCCTAAACTTATTCAAAACAAAATTACTTTTAAGTCCAAAATATATGTAAAAGTGCTTAGTTTTGAGTTAAACAAAAACCTCATTTTGGTTTAAAACTCATTATTCGAAAGACTTTTCATTACAAATATTTTGGTATTTTTCTAGAATTGTCCAGAATTTAGATTATATTACACAATCTATCCTTATATTATATAGTATTATAAACCATTTTACCTATCATTGCATTTTATGGTCATTTAATTTAAATTTCATGTTAAAACCCATTTTTACAATTTATCACAAAACAAATTAATGATAAGTAAAAGTTAACTACAAATCGTGTAATATTTCATAGGAATTCATTCATAATGAGAAAAGTCTATATTTATCTCATTCTTAATATAAATATAATGTCTGAATAAAAGCCTAATTTAGTGGCAATACATCTAATAATCAGAGATTATTTTCATGTCAATTATTTGAATAAGAAAATCGATATCTACTGCTTGTATACAATAATATGGGTTAATATANTTAATATAAATATAATGTCTGAATAAAAGCCTAATTTAGTGGCAATACATCTAATAATCAGAGATTATTTTCATGTCAATTATTTGAATAAGAAAATCGATATCTACTGCTTGTATACAATAATATGGGTTAATATAATACTCGGGTTATTCGTAATACTCTATTAATTGACAATTTATCGATTGAGACAAAAATGAATGCATTAATGAGCAAATAATTAGGTGTAAATTAGATACAAAAAAATCCATATATTTCTAAATAGATGACTGACTCGGAGACGACAAAAGCGTTGGCGTGAATGGTCTCGAGAACGTCCTCCAGAGCTACTTTAGAAGTGAGTGTATTTCCGTGGTATACAACCGGACCATCATTTCCATCATAACAGTCCACTTTCACACAACGACACCCTTTCATAATAGGATCGCATATCTGTGTTAAGCAATCAAACAATGCAAATGTCTTCAATGGACAATACCTTGGAGTAGAGCTCTGGCATATCCTTCAGCACTTGACGGTCCTTTTAGTTGGTCTTCGAGTAGATAACTGGTTGTAGAAGAATATAATGAATTATAAGATTACTGTTATATTCAATAGGGATGAGACAAGACTGACGTGTTATGAGAGGTTGAGATGAAATAATGCGATAATGGCTGAGACATGTCATGACAGATATCTTTGTGATGAACTGACATTATATCACATTCTTCTGAGAGTAG